GGAGAGACCTGGGTGCAAATCTCTGATCAGTTTTAATCAAGTTTACTGGGCGACCTTGGGCCAGTCATTGTGTTTTAGCTTAATCTACCTTACAGGGTTGTTGTGAGGATAAAAGGAAGAATGGGGAGAACTCACCTGCCATAGACCCCAGGTGGCAATGTGGAACAAAAATATAACAGCTATCAACATCCTGTTTTCTTCTTTTTAACACAGGATCCATAGAAATCTCTCCCTGATTTGATTGGATCTCCTAATTAGTGACACCTCTCTCAACTGGAAAAATAAATGAGGCTAAAATGTGTAAAAAATGAGAGGCCAAGAAATTAAACAGGTGTGTGTTTAACATTCTTTTGTTATGGAATTCCTCCAGCATAGGAAATATATGCCTATATAGTATCTGCAGCTATACTTTCTGGCACTGGTTATCACATTTTTACCTAATGGATTTCTATTCCCCCTTCCCCAAAGGAGTTCAGTTCCCTACTGATGGAGCTTCTGGGAAGTAAGCTGGGCTAAAAGGAAGTAATTGGCTCAAGGCAACTCACTGAGAGGAGACAGGGGCCCAAGTCCCTCTACCTCAGCACCCCAGCCATTCCACTCTGCTGGCATTTTTAGCTAGAAAAATGTACCTTAGTCCAATAATTACAGACACCTGTGGAAACAGAAAAGAAAACAGCCTCAGTCTGTATGATGCTATGAAAAGATTTAGTCCCTTGGACTGTGGAAATAGCCCAACATTCACATGTGAACAATTCAGAAGGCCCAAACAAGACAGGGAAAGCTGAATAGACAGTTGTACAGTTAATTTGATTCCAATTGCTTGAGGACCTATCATCACCCCCTGAGGTAGCTTGAGAGTCCAATTAAGAGATTCTGTTTCTAGCCAGACTGTGTTGAATTTTGCCAACATTTTAAAATTGGGAAAATAGACATGTAATCAGCGTTTGAATATGAGTATAAAATGTACCCCTCAGTTGTAATTTCAGGAGATCTCCAGGACCTACCAGGAGGTTGGCAACCC